ACATGTGACAGAACAATAACAATACAATGCAAAACATGAGGGGATTGAGGGCCCTGCTCTTTCGAGCTTACAATCTAGGAGGGAGGGGATGGTAGCACAGGAGGAGATAGCTGTGGGGGATGGAGTGGTAGGAAGAGTGGAGGAGGTTGACAAGTTAGCAGGGGGTGGGGTATGCTTCCCTGAAGAGGTGGGTTTTCAGGGTGCGCCTAAAGGAGAGGAGAGTAGGTGATAATCTGATGGGTTGGGGCAGGGAGTTCCAGAGGATGGGTGACACCCTGGAGAAGTCCTGGAGGCGGGCATGGGAGGAGGAGACCAGGGAACTAGAGAGAAGGAGGTCTTGTGAGGAGCGGAGTGTGCGTGTTGGGTGGTACTTGGATATTAGGTCAGTGATGTAGTACGGGGGCAGTATGGTGGACAGCTTTGTACGTCAGTGTTAGGATTTTGAATTTGATCCGTTGCGCAATCGGAAGCCAGTGGAGGGATTGGCAGAGGGGGGTGGCGGAAATGGAGCTGTTTGAAAGGTGAATGAGTCAGGCAGCTGTATTCAGGATCGACTGAAGCGGGGATATCCAGCGGCGAGGCAGGCCAGTGAGGAGGGAGTTACAGTAATCGAGTCGTAATATGATGAGGGAGTGGATGAGCTGTTTAGTGTTTTCTGGGGTTAGGAACGTGCGTATTTTGGTGATGTTGGCGGAGGTGGAGTCTGCACGAGTTTGTTAAAGATTGGACTTGGGGCTGGAAGGATAGGTTGGAGTCCAGAATGACACCAAGTACTCTGGCCTGCGGGGCGGGTTTGATGGTGGCGTTGTTGGATGTGATGGAGAAGTCAATGGGGGGTGGTGTGCAAATATTTACGATATTTACAGGTACATGCAGGGGCTATACAGCCCATTCTCCAGTTTCTCCTGCCAGGAATATCTGGTGTTTATACATCAGGACTGTTGGCAAGTACCCTAAGTTGTTTATGCATTTTGATGCATACTATATTTTTTATGATTTTTTTTCCCGGAGGAGGAAAATTTATGTGTAGCCATATGAAAATTGATATAAGATACATTTTACTTGCAGTATCTTTTATCACTATGGGAGGTGAGATTTCTTGAAACCACACATAAACTGCAACATTGTATGTAACTATATCTCCCTACACATTAAGTCCAGTATTCGACCTCATGCACTTTGGACGTAGGCCGGTTCACACATATCCAATCCGCGTACCATGTGAAATTAACATTGCTTCCTATGGTGCCTGTTCACATATGTCCAGTGCACTGGCAATGCGAATAATTGAAAAAGAGTCCTGTCCAATTTCTGAGCAGTATGGTCAGTTTCTGAGCCGCACATATCATCAGTTGTGGACAGGATTTCAGTTCAGGATCAGGTTTCAGCACAGTTTGGTCTCTTCCCCCCGTCCTGTCCACCTCAGCAAAACCACAAAAACCTTACAAAACTTCATCCAAACCAGCCCAAAACCGCATCCAAACCAGCCCTGAACATCTATGAACAGTATAATCTGCACTTGTGTCACAAAAAAATGGTCCTGAACAGCTGAACAAATAGATTGTAATCCACACTGAAACTGAATCTTGAAATCTGGAGCGCACATGTGTGAAGCACCACTGACTCTCCTAGAAGCCTCCTCCTGGCAGCTGCTTTTTGGCCAAAAAAAGTCTGACACTTGTAAAAGTGTGTAATGCGTTTAGCCGCATTTACCCATGTCAAGCGTTAGGGCATTAATTTCAATGGCCAGAATAAATTATTTACTCTGGCCAATAAAATGAATTAACACTCAATTGCTAAACGCACCTAGCATTCATGCACTTTTAAATGCGTCAAATGTTTTTTCTGCCAAAACTCTGCTGCTTCTGGATGCACTGGCAGTAGGTTATTTTTCCTATCTCTAAACTCTCCTGCCACTAAATGCCTCTAAATGTTTGTGTACATGACATAGGTTAACATGCCCAGGAGTTTAGAGGCAGGAAAAAAAAATGCCAGACGCCCCCAGGAGCAGCTGTAAAAATATCCAGTGTGCTTGAAGTGCAGCGAAGTTTACCCAAAAGCACATAAGTGTAAATGCTCCTTGATCTTTAAGAGCAATCACTAAACTTAGCCATACACAGCTCGGATTTCAGCTAAATTGGACAGGATTTGTGCTATGGATGGCCCTGTCGGTACCACCCAACTCAATAAAATAATAGAGGCTGGGCAGAAAATTGGTGCTGCAGCTACCAGAATACAATAACCTGCAGTGCAGATTCCTCCATACTCACTGGTTAGTGTGGATGAGGGAATCGGCTGATTTCTCTCAATTAGCCTGCAAGATTGAACCAGGAAAATCGAAACGTGGCATTGCATGCTTTCTTCCAGACCTAAATTTAATAGTAAATTAGAGTTTACTGCATTGTGTTTTAAGGCACGGGTAGTCAAACTGCAGTATGGGGTGCTTATAAAGGATTATGGGGTACTTCTGCTTTTTTAACAAATCTCATCATGACACTTAACAGTTTTAGCAAATTATACAATGGAAAAAATGGATATCTGTAAGTATTCTTAGTGATTTCAAAACATAATTAATTGTTTGGTTAGCATTTAGCCCCTTTTTATATCATTATTTTTTCTTAGATTGTAAGCTCTAACGAACAGGGCCCTCTGAATCCTCCTGTATTAGTTTGTATTGTAATTGTACTGTCTGCCCTTATGTTGTAAAGCATGGTGTGAACTGTAGGCGCTATATAAATCCTGTATAAGCCCTCCTATTCCTTCTGTACTGAAATGTATTGTAATTGTACTGTCTGCCCTTATGTTGTAAAGCGCTGCGCAAACTGTTGGCGCTATATTAATCCTGTATAATAATAATATAATAATAATATTAAGTACTGGATATGGGTAATGTACATATCAAACCACACCTGAGATTTGGTTTTCGTATACTAGGGGATGCTTGTCATTGGAACATGCAGCAATAAATCTCTTCTAATGACATTCAGTTAATTTGTAAAGAAGAGGATGCAGTCATGTAAATTTCTAAATTGTAAATGTTTGGCTGTGTTACAGAACTACCCTGGACTTCCCCTTTCCCCAAAAAATTTAACTTTTTTTCTCTTTTCTGTTAATTAATGCCTTAAAGGCGTAGGTTTCAACCCGTTTTTTTTAGTTTTGGATAGAACCTCTGCCAGGTTCTTGTTGTTGTTGCCTCTGTACCCATTGGACAGACTGCCTTTTGTTTGTTTTGTCATCAGGATAGGAAGTTAGCAGAATCTCTAAAGTGGGAACATAGACAACAAAATCCCTTTTTTTTTTTTTTTTTTTTTTTTTTTTTTTTTTTTAATGAAAACGGGGAAGAATTAGAACCTCTGTACCAGATTTGAGATTTCTTTACTTGCATTTTTGTTTTGTATGGCGTTCTTTCCCTGTTCTTCTAAAAGCTCCCAACATTGAGAATAGGATATATGTATAGTTTTATGCCTTATTAATGATCTTCAACCGTAAGGTATTAGAATGTGCTTGTTTTGGGCAACCAAAGAATGTTTGGCAAAAGCAAGGATTAGCTCTGTCTGAATTATATTATTTCCACTTAGAGATTTCCTTTACAGGGGCGGGCTGACAACTCATGGGCCCCTGGGCAATAGGGACCATTTGGAAACTCTGGCACTGCCCGAGGGCCCGGGGTCAGTAGGGGGCCCCATGAGATGCCCCTGGTACCTTTTTTCATAGGCTTTTTTGAGTTTGGGCAAGGACACAGGGGCCCCATGATCCACTATTGCCCAGGGGCCCCATGAGTTGTCAGTCCGGCCCTGCTGAGGTCCCAACCATTTTCTTGCTATCCGCAAAACTAAAAAAAAAAAAATATTGGGGCTGGAGTTACTTTGGATGGTGCCTACAATTTTAAGGCTGGGTTCCCATCTTTGTGATTCCTGTTTCCTTTGTTTTTTTTAAATGCATTTTTCAGTTTGTATTGATGCATGTTTTGCACGTGTTTATATGCGTATTTTAATGAGTTTTCATTTATCACATTGGCCAATAAAAAAACTATTTTGGCTTGTCACCAACTGATGGAAATGTATTCAAAATGTATCATACCTGTTTTCATGTGTTCTCATTAAACTTTTCCCGCTAACACAGGGTCTTTTGGTCCACTCTCGGCACAGAAACCTCACCCGCCCATTGATGCGAATGTGCGGTGTGTGGACATTAAAACCTTTCCCCTTTGCTGATGCACATATGCTTTATGTGTGCGATCAAAAATAATCTGCGACACAGTGTACAGATGTGAACAGGCTCCATCTATCTATGACATCGCCTTTGATGACACATCTGACAATCAGATCTGTGGCAGACTTGGGTTGTGAAACTTAAAACCAGATTTTCATTTGGTGTGGAATGACCTGGATCAACTATAGCCACTACAAGCCCAGCTACTGTCATCCCCTGAGCAGTTTGGCCTAGTTGCCCTCATCTCCATAACGTGTGTGTATGGAGTGGCTGGGATTTGGCGAGCGCAGAGCTAAAACCAGAGCAATGCCAAATAAGGAGACTTGCTGTGGAGATATCTGACTGGAAATGTCTGCTTTCTGTTCACAAGGCACACTGCCTGCTCACTTCCCTTTCTTACTCAAATCTCTGGAAACATAACCAGCTTTTCTGTTTTGGGCCTGAAACTAGTGTCTTGTTTTAACCATTTTATTCCTTCAATAACAGATATCCACATCTTAAAGGCTCATGTACAGATTTAAGTCATCATGCAGTGGATATATACAGGTCTTGATTTTCCATTATTAATGCAGTATGGCCATATTAAGCAAATTACTAAGACATTCTCTTATGAGTGAATCATCCTTGGAGGGCCCCAAATAGTTCATTTTAGTAGTGTGAGCATATTTTTTTAAAGAAAATGGTATGTTACAGTATAATTATTTTTTGCTGTATCAAATATAATGCACCCAGAAAGATGTTTTTTACTTATTTATATGTTATTAAATATTCTTGTGTTGCCATTTTAGACACATGAAGATTCATGAAAAGGACCCAAATGCTGCAGTAGCTACAAGCCCACCATCCCCTCAAAAAAGGAGGCGAATGACTTCCAAAAGAAAATTAAATCCTGAGGAGGAAGTTGAAAAGGATGACACACCTCCAGCAAAAAAGGTGACTTCTAGTTTCTAGCACTTCTAATGCAGAATTAGGGGAATCTCTAGATGCCAGTACTTATGTGAATATTTTGACATGTGGTTTGCTTATTCTTGTCAACAAAATGTACAGAACCCTTCAGTATTCTGTTCTATAAATATCTTTTCTCAAAAATACTGTCTGTTTTGCAGTTACCACAGGGGTGGGTTGGATCCAGAAGCTCTAAACATGTAGTCTTATGGTGGTCATACACCTTCATTTTATTATCCGATCGATGTGTAAATTGATCGAATCGGCAAACAACTGAATGGCCATAACTACTCTGCCATTTTACATCAATTGGCAGCACTGAGATGCTTTGATCATGAATTTGATCATTTTAGATTGAATAGATTATGAGTTTGCATGGTGGAAACAGAGATGAGATCAATAACTTACGATCGTATCTTTCAAAACTATCAATTGAAATCCGCTTCCCGTGGAAGGAATCTTCCCCACAGATTGATTACTCCTATCGGGAGAGATTGCACTGTAAATAAATCCATCATTTATTACCAGGTGTATGGCCACCATACGGTTTGCAAGGTGGTTAATGCTCTGCAAGGTTCCCTATTTATCAGAAAGGCATAGACAGGAGATTTTCAAAATGCTTGGCGACATTTATGAATGCATTAGCAATGATTTGGATGTGTGGTGCTAAACTCCCAAACAAGTGTGATTGTTTGTATTCTATTTGTATTCTATTTAAAATACTCTTGTTTTATGTATCAACTGAAATTCAAGCCTTGGGTGGCCCAGTTGGCACCACCTGGCTTGAAAAAATAGGAGCGAAGTGGAAAATTTGGATCTCTTTAGATGTACTCGCTTGTTTAGGTATTCTGGTAGGTGCAGATGTTTGGTATCCAAATACAATAGCCAGCAGGGAAAATTCCTTCGTCCACACTGTTTAGTATTGATGGAGAAATCTATTAGATTTCTTTTGTTCAGCCCACGTGCATGGCTAGCCTTAAGCTGGCCATACATGTTTGTTGAACTGTCCAAATTTCAATCTATGCGTGATCGCTGTGGTTGAACAGAAGTCGATCTATGGATCAGCTTCTGTTCAACCATCCTGTCGGTATATTTGCATTCGATCAGCACTGCAGGCAAATAGACTGCAGTGTTGATCTATGCATTCTGACGGCAAGGGATTCTGCCTGTTGTCATAATACAATGAAAAGGCGGGGAGGATTACCCCATTCGCATTGAACGTGCAGATGGGAGAATCAGATACGTTTTTTTTTTTTTTGTTTTTTTTTTTTTCAACCCGGAAGCTGAATGGAAAAACTGACCAATGTATGACCAGGTTTAGGCTACCCATAAACTTAAGTGGTTGATGTGCAAGTCCAGTCTGACCTCTGTACGGGGAACACCTTTTTCAAGAGCTGCAGTGCAGTTTATATCAATGTAGAGGGGCTGGGTAGACTAGGCAGATGCTGCCAGCAGCACATACCTTTACTCAAAAATATATGCATGTAAAGAGGTAGGGCAGTTTGACTAATACCTCATTTGTTTTTCTTTTCCTAAAGGTGGTTGAAGAAGTTCAGCAAGTCGAACCATTGAAAAAGGCAGAAGATCTCATTCCCTGCCCAATATGCTTTAAAGAATTTCCATGCAAATCGTCTCTGGACACTCACATGGAATCTCATCCAGAAGCCTCTTTAAAGTAAGTTGTCTCTCAGGGGGTCTGTAGTCAACAGTTTATAATTCATTATGCCCTCTCACTTCTGATATTAGCTGGAAAAATGCAATTAAAGTGGACCTGTTATTTTAACATAAAGGGTGTAGACGCCACAAAGCAATGTTAATGCTGGTTATATCTCCTTCTATTATTATTCTGAAGACATTGACTGTAGCTGACAGGCTAAAGGGTCAACACTAGTATCTGAAACATTAAAATTAGATAATAAAATACAAACTGTTCAACATTATTAATACTGTTTTGTAATGGTTCTATCAGTATATGAATAATGACTAGGGATGAGCTCGGGCATGTTCCAATCCTAGTTTGAATCCACAAGAGCGAGCCAGCCAGGAAATTGTCACCTGTACTGGGCCAATTATCTGCTGCCAGGGTATACATGCAGCTCCTGCTGCCAGAAGCTTGTATACGTGCAGCTATGGGGCAGGGAATGCCTCAGCCACAGATGATTGGCCCAGTACAGGTGAAAGCTTCTGGACAGGCTCACTCACGTGGGATTGAACTAGGTCCAGCACACTCTCAAGGTCATTCCAAATAATGACTGTTCTTCTTTAATATAGACCAGGGGTCCTCAAACTACGGCCCGCGGCCACATGCGGCCCGCCGAGGACATTTATCCGGCCCGCCGGGCAGGGGCGTATCTGCCACGAGGCAAGGGACTAGGGTTTGGCAGCTCGGGAGAGCTCGGCAGGGCTCGGGCGGGAGGCAGGAGGGCGGGATCAGCAATTCTAGAACAGGGGAAGGTGGGCTCGGCTTATGAACCCGCACCACTCACCTGGCCTCTCTGCAGCCAGCCGGCCATCTATTCTGATCAGTGCATGCAACCGTCACGGCCGGAGGGCGGAGCCTAGAGCTGACCATGAAGAGGGGAAGCAAGAGAGGAGACTCCATCGCTGCATGTAGGGTATCACAGCCACGGACCCTAGATAAGTGCAATAGATGATCGATCTCCTCCCTCGCTCTTTCCCCCCTTCCTCTCCTATCTCCCCCCCCCCTCTCTCTCCCCCCTTCCTCTCTCTTTCCCCCCCTCCTCCCCTCTCTCTCTCTCTCTCTCTCTCTCTCTCTCTCTCTCTCTCCTCCTTATCTCTCCCCTCTCTCTTTACTTACATTGTACACAGATTTGACCCAACAAGGTGTCCTGCATTTACCGTATATTTCGCTCCATAAGACACACTTGGGGGGAAATGTCTGTGCGTCTTATGGAGCGGCCGGCCCCAGTATTCCGGCCGCCGTTGTATGTCCGCAGTCTCTGGTCATCTCATGTACTATGCCCGCAGTCTCTGGTCATCTCCTGTACTGTGTCCGCATTTGTTCATAGTTTTGTTTTTTGAAACTATAGTGTGGCCCTCCAACGGTCTGAGGGACAGTGAATTGGCCCCCTGTTTAAAAAGTTTGAGGACCCCTGATATAGACCATTGTCCTTCACCTAGTGTTTGAAAATGTTTACCTCTATATTATTATTGCACAATCTTCTGTTTATCAACTAGTTTGCATTTATTGTTTGGCTGGTGGATGTCCACTTCTTTGCATTTCCCTTTCTACATAGCAATACACTTGCAGTGTAATTTTAACACAGTGTTCTACATGCTTTGCCATTCATCCCTATGAATGATTTGTTTTGCTGGAAACTGAACCTAGGATGCAGATAGCAGGGTTTGCTTTACGGCTCCCTTGTAAAATGTAGAGGTGTAAATGTATTGTAATTTACAGCCATAGTTAGCTGGTGAATGAATATAATAATTTATTTTTCCTAAATGAGATTTATTTGTAGCACAGTAGCTAAGTGGTTAGCACTTCGGCCTAGCAGCACTAGGGTCATCTGTTTGAATCCCAACCACGATACTACCTGTATGGAGTTTGCATGTTCTCCCTATACCTGCTTGGGTTTCCTACCGCACTCCAAACACATGCTGATTGGTTAATTGGCTCCTGTCTAAATTGGCCCTAGTATGTGTATGAATGTGAAATTAGGGACCTAAGATTGTAAGCTCCTTGAGGGCAGGGTGTGATGTGAATGTACAATATATGTAAAGCGCTGCATAAATTGATGCTATATAAGCACCTGTATTAAATAAAAATAATAACTAATACTATACTCTCTTGAGAACAGGAGATTAAGGGGGGATATGGTCAACATATGGTTCATATAGTGAACTCGGTGTAGAGTTATTCACCCTGAGGTCATCACAGAGGACAAGGGGGCACTCTTTACGTCTGGAGGAAAAGGAAGTTAATCTCCAAACACGAAAGGTTTCTTCACAGTGAGAGCTGTGAAAATATGGAATAGACTCCCTCAAGAGTTGGTTCTAGCCAGCTCAGTGGATTGCTTTAAAAAAGGCCTGGATTCTTTCCTAGATACACAGAATATAACTGGATACTAACATTTATAGGTAAAGTTTTTCCAGGGAATATCCAATTGTCTCTCGGGGGGGGATCAGGAAGGAATTTTTTTTCCCTGCAGGAGCAAATTGGATTATGCTTTGCTGGGGAGTTTTTTGCCTTCCTCTGGATCAACTGTGGGTATAGGATTATAACTTTTTTTTTTTCAATGGTTGAACTGGATGGACTTTTGTCTTTTTTCAGCCAGACTAACTATGTAACTATATTTAGCTGTATGTTGCTGTGAGAACTGTAATGTTATTACTTATGAGCTCCATGCACACTAGGCTTATAAACGCCAGTTCCCTTGGCAGAAAAAAACACTCATATAGAGCATTTTTGTACAATGTTTAGGCACGCTTAGGAGTGTTTAGCAATTTTCCTGCCAGAATATTTGCCTTTAAATGTCCTAATGTGCATGGACACATATAATAACATTGAGCTGCTTCTATGGGACAAACACAAAACTCCTGTAGAAGCAATGATTTTTATGCCAGTGTGGAGCTATAATATGTTACAGATAAGGGTGGTTAGTACTGATGGTGATGTGAAACTACAAGTCTTCTGTATTCTATCCATAGTTAACAGCATAAGTAGATTGTACAGTCATCATCTGCTCGCATCGTTGTTTCTGGTCCTGGTCAGGCTTTATATTGGCTTTAAGTTTCTCCAGGATGTGAATTATGAACACCCAGATCTGAAATTCAAGCAGTCGCCACAGATGGAAGGATTTCCAGTTTCAAACCCTTAGGCACCGCTCTTACTTGACTTGTCCCCGACAGTGAAAATGTTGCTGCAGACACTGGGACTCCACAAATATTATTTTGGTTTTCCGTGTACTCTATTCTGATTGGCTGTTAAGTTTTTCTCCACCCTCAGAGTCATTCTATTTGTATAACTATAATCCCTGCAAATGAAATGTGATACTGGAGTGTAGTATGTACACCACTAATCTCCTTGTAGCTTTTTTTGCCTGTTACTTGCAGCCAGTTTGCGTTACTAAACAATAGTTGTAGTGTAGTCTAAAATTTCTACTGCTAAGGACAGCGCAACTGACAGTTCAGGTCCAGGTACATACCAACAAAAAAGCACTTTTGCCCTTTCTTTTCGAATGTATTCATTACTCCCTTGCAGTGAACATTGGTTTTTGTATCCCAAACCTTGCCTTATGTGTATGTGCTTGGGATGCACGGCTCGTGTTGGAGTCTTATTAGATCCCTGAGCATGGGTCAGACCAAAACAGCAACACTGCGTCTGGAATGTGAGAGGCAATCTGCCCAATCTATAACCAGCAGCCTTAAAATAGGAAGCCCTAATGATATGGTTTCAGATTTGGGAGTAGAGGGAGGTATGTGTGCATGCATGTTTTTGATGAACGTTCTTGCATATGTATTTTTATACTGGAAGATGACAGAAGAGGCTTTCACATGAAGTTGCACTGCCTCTTTGTACACCATTGTTCAGACATTACACACAACTCTCTTTGGGATGAAGGTGTTCAGTAGTAAGAGACATGTCAGAGCTCTTTTCCATTTACTAAGTGTGCAGACACGGTGATGACTGATAGCCATAGAAGAGTCTTTTCAGATGGCATGGGATTTAGAAGTTCACTTACAGGGATTCTGCAGTCTTTTTTTAAACTAAATTACAGATGAGTGCTGTCAGCCTAATGTAAATTATCTTATAAATGTTTGCTCATGTTTTGTCATTTTGTTTCTGTTTTATAGTTGGTAATTATGTCTATACAGACAGCTATAATTTTCATTTCATTTGCAGGATGCTTCCTTGTTAGCAGTGATACTCAGTGGTTGTGCTTTACTGCTTTTTCTCAGCCCAAGTCTGTTAGTATTCTCAGAGCATCAAAATGAATATAATCTGTAAAGCTGATGTATGAAACGCATGCTAACAATAATTTTCATGTCCATAGTAATCTTGTTTAGTCATCCTTGTTTCATCACTAGGTCTCATTCACACGTTGAGTTGCGTAGATCAATGCAAGGGCACCTAGATCTTGTTTTTTTTTAATGTGCCCTTTGCACAGTGCAACATTGAGTTGAGGTGCTTTTATCTTTATTTAGCACAACTCTTTGCTTCCTATGTCACTGCAGTGCGGCCCAATGTGGTACTTTCACTTGAATGAAGCATCGTTTTGTGACACTTCAATAATGTTGAAAAGAAGTTGTATAATGAAAAAAAACAGTAAAAAGCACAAATCACTACCACTACACAACAGATTTGTTTTAATGTGTGGGCTGGTATATACAGATAGCCATCAGTGAGGTATAAACAAAAGTGAAAAGCTTGATGACTTTTAGGCCGGCTTTGCATAATGAACTCGATGGGGGTTATTTAGTAAAAGTGGAGAGTGCAAAATCTAGTGCAGCTTCATAGAAACCAATCAGCATCCAGGTTTTATTGTCAAAGCTTAGTTGAACAAGTTGAAGGTAGAAGCTGATTGGCTACCATGCACAGCTGTTGCAAATTCAAAGTGCACCAGTTTTAGTAAATCTACCCCAATGTGTACTCACTTCAGATAGAAATTCAAAAATCTTTTGTGTCAGTAAAAGGTAAAAACTGCAGGCATTC